CTGCACCTAACAGGGACTGACTCCGAAAGGCCACTTCTAGAACTCTCTAAGTTGGCCTTTCGGTACTGTAGCAGCTACAACTTTGCCCTTTCAGGTAAGTAGCAGCTACGACCTTGACTCTTCAGGCAGTCTTCAGCTACAACTCCGGAGCTGCCTAGACTTCTACCCTACAGGTCTACAGTTCGATTCCAGTCTATCCTGTGCCCTACGACCAATCTACCTACCACTGGCGGTTCTACAGGTCGCAGGTTCAACTCTTCGAGTTGACGTAGATATTATACACAGGTAAGTTGGGGAACTAGGGATCAAGCCCTGGGATCTGCCTCAGCTACCACGAATTGGTGAATACCGTTTCACAACACACACACACACAAAAAAAAAAAAAAAAACAGAGAGAGAGAGAGAGAGAGAGAGAGAGAGAGAGAGAGAGAGAGAGAGAGAGAGAGACTTACATTTCCAGAACCCAGCCAAAAGCCTGATCAGCCTCCCTGTCCTCCTTCAGTGCAAGAGAGATGTTATTCCAAGTGGGGGCAATCTTCATTAAATCTGTCTGCACCCTCCGACACAAGATACGGAAAAGTAGGCAGGGGCAAGGGGGCCAAGGGGGGCAAGAGGGCCGGGGAAGGGGTGGGGTCGAAAAGGAAAATGCATAAAGAAAAATGTTTCAGAGCGACATTGGTTCTAACAATTCATCTTAGACGATCCATTGCTGATATACTCAGTGATCTGCGGTGGTCCGATGCCATAACGACGCTGGCCGGTGCTGGGGTGTTGCCCTGTAACCTGCTGATGCAGGAGTGTGAGGCCTGGTAGAGAGATCTGGGGATGCTTTGGGGTGGGCATTCCAAGGGACAACCAAGGGTTGCTGCTGTGATGACGCTGGTCGGAGCTGGGGTGAGTCGTGCTGCCCTGTAACCCAGCAGGGTGGGGGTGTGAGACCTGGAAGAGCTCAGCAGGGAGTATGATAGTGTTGGAAAGCTTTAGATGGGTTGCTAGGGATTCATAGATTTTTGAGTATTCATAGGACCTCAGTGGTGGCGCGTTTTGTTATAACAGACCGCTTTTCAGAAGTTTTGTCGTTGTAATTTTCTAAGTAGCTAGTGGGTCTGGTATCCTAAACGTTCAAATCTTTCTCTGAGCGAGAAGAAGACAAAAAAAGAGAAGATGGTGGGTTATTACGCGTCCTACCAGTGAGGGGGCTAGCTGGTAGGATGGGAGTATGGTATAGCAGCAGCAGAGATGGTGGCTCCGCTGCAGTCAGTCTTGCCGGAGTGAGGTAAAGCGGATTGATGGGGGTTCTTCTGAGTTGCTTCTGAAATTTCCCTTTATCATGAAGTTGTCGTAGACATGTCTGAAGTAGCTCCAATTTCTCTGAGTCAAAGCCGGGTAATGGCCCCGGTATCTCAATTTTCAAAATTCCATCCTTAGGCCAGTCTCATTTTCATGAAATTTTCTGATGAGTTTTCTGAACGTACTCGTTATGGGACGCTG